GCTATCTTATGTAAAGGCCTTGTCTGTGAGATTATAGGTGTTGAGCTTTATAAAAGTTCCCTCTCCACAGTTTTATCAATGATATGCCCCAAGGTGGAGTTATCAGAAGGAATGTGGGCTTATGATCCTAACACCTGGTACAGACTGTCTTCCAACTCCTTCAAACACCTTAGGCAGTAAGAATAGACAGGGACCAGAATAGTAGTTAGAAGAGGTATAAAAGTACTGGGGATGGGAGCAGAGAGCCAGTGTCTGGTATTATTCCAGCATATACTAAACTCCCCTGAGTTAATTATTATAGGTTTGTCATAAGTATAAGAGCTGCTTCCCTTTGGTTTGCAACTATTCATTGAATATTTACTGAGTACCTTGCATGTCAGGTGCAATGCCAGATGCTTAAGCTCTGTCAATGTATCTTAACCTTAAAGATCCTCACCCAAATGAGGCTTACATTAGAGGTAGGAGGAAAATGATGACACATAAGAATTACAATTTTAAATGATCTTAAATAGAAGTTAAGTGCTATAGATAAAGGAAAGAGGAAGGGGGGTCAGAAGTGCCAGGATCAGCATACATTCAGCTCATTAATTCAAGAAATATTTATTGAGCATCTACTGTGTGCCTGGGGATGTAGCAATAAGTATGATGGATGGGGTCTGCTCATGGTTTAAATCTCCACTGAAAAGTAAATAAGCATGGAGTAATTTAAATCAATAGTGGACAAGGACAGGTGCAACCAAGAGTTTAAAGGAAAAATTACAGTCATAGGGAATATCAGAGAATACTTACCATTGATGTCTAATTAACTGAGTAAAAATTTATTTATTGAACTTACCACCAACTGTAATTAGTTGATTAAATATCTACTAAAAAAAGTATTCCTGGGTAGCTGAAAACATGCACATGTAAGAATTACATATACCTCTGGTTTTAATTTAGTAATATATTTGCCATAGAAATGATGAAACATAAAACATTTTTCTGTTGTTCTAGTTTGGCATAGTTGTGTGCTTTTCCTACAGCTAAAAAACAGACAAGTGCAAAAACAACTATCTGAGGATACTGAGAAATAAAATCAGGCAGATTGTGGAGAAGCAACCTAGACAGAGGAATGAAGGCAAACTAAAACAAATACCAGACTCAGTCTACAATAAACACTAAAGGAAGTTCCTCATACTGAAGGGAAATGATAACATGAAGGAAAATTGGATCTCTAGGAAGAAAGGAAGAGCAAGAAATGGTAAATATCTAGATAAATATAGAAAAGGTTTTTCCCTGTAAGTCTTTAAAATATATTTTATATATATATATATATACTTATAGACAATAAATATAACATTGTCTGGGGAGGGTTTCACTGTATATAAATGCAATCCATATGAGAACCGTAAATTAAAGGTTGGGGGTTATTGGACCCATATGGTTGCCATGCTTCTAGGTTTTACATGAAGTGGTACAATTCTTATTTTAAGCAGACTATGAAAAATTAGTTATGTATAAGACTTCCCTGGCAGTCTAATGAATGGTTAAGACTCTGAGCTTCCACTGAAGGGAACATGGGTTTGATCCCTGGTTGGGGAACTAAGATCCCACATCCTGAATGGCACGACCAAAAAGTTAAAAAAAAAAAAAAAGTTATGTATATTTTAACTCCTAGAGTAACTTAACCAAAAACAAAACCCCAAAAAAGTATTAGCCAAAAATCCAAGGGATGAATTAAGATATTCAACTAATATTAAAAAATTTTTTAATTCAAATAATCCAAAAGAAGGCAGTAGGGGGAGAACAGAGATATAAAGAAAAAGAAGGACAAACAGAAAACATAAAATGATAGACCTAAATCCCACCATATCAATAACTGTTGTTCAGTTGCTAATTCATGTCTGACTCTGTAACCCCCTGGACTGCAGCATGCCAGACTTCCCTATCCTTCACAATCTCCCAGAGTTCGCTCAAACTCAGGCGCATTGAGTCAGTAATGCTATCCAACCATCTCATCCTCTGCACATGGGTAGGAAGACTCAATAGTATTAAGATATATATTCTCCCTAAATCCATCTGTAGTTTCAATGCAATCCCAATAAAAATTCCAGCAAAGTTTTTATAGGGACTGACAAACAGATCCTAAAATGTATGTGTTAATACAAACAACAGAGTAACCACAGCAAATTTTTAAAAGATGAAAATTGGATGACTTACTCTATTGGTATCAAGAATTGCTATAAAGCTACAGTAATCAAGACACTTTAATATGGGCAAAGAGATACACACAGAACAATGGGACCATGCAGACAATTCAGAAATAGATTAATACATATGGTCACTTTATATATATTTTTATAAAGGTACGACTTAATGAGAGGAAAATCTTTTCAGCAGTATTGGATCAACTGGACATCCACATGGGAAACATTGAACACCAATCCTTATTCCACTATCCACAAAAATTAATTCAAAACGGATGATAGATTCAAGTAAAGAATCAAACTATAAAATTTCTAGAAGAAAACAAAATTTTTGTAAACTTGGACTAGATATGGTCTTAGAGTCTGTATTCACCAGGGATTGAGGGCCTCCAGAGTAATTGCCATGTTTTCTATAATTAAGTCAGCATGATGAGCAGCTCCCAAGGGTTCAGACTTATTAGAAATACTGGGCTCTGCAGGGCTGCTAAAGCTGCACCATGTTACAGAACAGACTCCTGTGTCTCTCTGTTTTAAAACCTATAGACACACTTTTGTGTAGCCTTTAGGAAAGGGAGCATTTGTAGACATGATCCCTGTATGTCAGTCAGGTCAAGTTTATTAATCTGTATTAATCCATTTAATATTAACAGAAGATCATTTTTTGGTTCTCCAAAACCCTTTGAGGTAAACAAGGCAGATTAGTGATTCCCTCCCACCCATTTTTTCACATGAGGATGCTAAACCTCAAAAGGAATTTGTGTGCAAGTGGGTGAAATGGTGATGAGCTGGCTCTGAGGCCAGAGCTGCATTCAGAACCAGAATCCCCCACTTCCTAGCTGGGTGCCTGAGGGCAAATTCACTTCTTCCAATTCAATAGGTGAAATAGGGTATCCCCTTGCTTCTAAGGTTATTAATACATGCTTTCATGTGTTTTCTTTTTTATGTGAACTTCTTGTGCATAATTATAATAACTTCATAATTTTGGTTGGGCTGCTTACCTTTTTCTAATCACTTATGAGTCCATACCTGTTTTAACAAGGAAACTAACAGATTACTATAATTCCTCATTACTTTTTTTTTTCCTCATTACTCTTTAGATTCTGTATCTAGAATCAAAAAAGTACTGTGGGTTAGCAGATTTTTAAAAAACTCTCAAAACAGGAGTTTAGAGAAAAAGAATAAATGATTTTAAATGTACATAAATATCAAACTGTTCAAACAGGTAAAGTTTGAGAAAATTGGTAAGCAGATGGAAAAACAGGTGCTTTCATATACCACTGACATGAATATAATCAGAGTGATCTTTTTGGAGGGTGGTTTATCAGTATCAGAACTGAAAATGCTAAGGATTTACCCCACTAAATTACTCACAAAAGCATTTTATACATATAGAAAAGTTTGCTGAAGCACTCTTTAAAAACAGCAAATAACCAGAAATAATCTAACCTCAGAAGGCACTAGACTGGTTAATTATGGAACATCTGTAAAGTAGATAATTTGTTCAAAATAATGATATGAATTGTGGTGACCTCTTACCTTAAGACATATGACATGAAGGTACATTAGCTAGGGGGAACAGTATAGAACAATATATACCAGTGTATAGAAGACTAATTTTTAAATGATATATATGCAGATATATGCTGATATGAATATTTACATTTGCTTCTGAAAGAAAACAAGTAACTGCTAACTGCCATGGAAGAGGCTAGGCATTTTCTTTACCATTTGCCATGTCTTACCAAGTGCATGTCTTACATCTCACATCTAAAAAAAATATGTATGTATGTATTTAGTCAGGTCTTAGTTGTAGCATGGGATCTTTCAGTTGTGGCGTGAGGGACCTAGTTTCTCCACCATGGATTGAACCCAGGCCCCCTGCATTGGAAGCCCAGTCTTGGCCTCTGGACCACGAGGGAAGTCCCTTACATTTATTTTTTTTTTCCTTACATTTATTTTTAAGGGCAATAGGGTAGTCATTCCCTTTATAGCTTTTGTTTTACAAAATATTGTTTAAAAATTGAATTTTAAAATCCTGAAGTTAAAAAAAATTACTTTCTCCCTTACTTGCCCCCAGAGATTACACAAGGCAACATTTCCCAACAGTTTTTTCAGAGGAAGTACTGCAGCCAAAAGTGAGGAAAGGCTCAGCCCTGCTAACACCTGCCAGGTCTGGCCAGGATGCCTCTCCACCACAGAGCAGGTCAGTGAGGCAGACCTCCGTCTCCACACCCGCCCCCCCCACCCCCCACCTCCCCCCCCGCTTTTTGGTACTGATCTATATGGATCACGGTTGGAACAACGAGCAGCGTGGACTAACTTCTTAGTCATTGTTGTGGTTTCTATACTGAACTACACCAAGAGGGAAAGTTCTCAACCAGCTTCAGTCTCGGGTTGGAAAGGACCATTTACAAAATACAAAGGTGCTTTACAGGTAGTAAGACCTGGCCTAAGGTTCTGTGGTTTCTAAGACCTCCAGTTTTAATAGTTGCTCCTGCTGTAGTGTAATGGCACATATGTTAAGTAGGAATCCCCTGTATAGTTCCTAAATCAAGTCCCGGTCGTCACTGCTGATCAGGGAAAGGGGCGACTCACTTAATAGATGGTCGGGGTTTTTTTCTTTTTGGCCTGCACCACATGATTTGCAGGGTCTTCCCCCTATCAGGGATCATCAAACCCAGGCTCCCTGCAGTGGAAGCATGGAGTCTTAACCACTGGACTGCCAGGGGATTCCCTAGAGATTATCTCTTGATGTCTCATTATTTATGAAACCCCACACGGAAAAAGGCAAAGTATCTGGAGGCTGGGTTCAATTACACAGTGTTTTTATTTTTATTCAAATATAAGCAAACAGCAAAATTAACACAACATTCAACTCCAGACTGGCTTTCTTTTTTAAACCAAAGAGTGATCAATTTAACAAGCACAGACTTTAGGATTTCTGATAACCTCTTACCCAGCCCTGCTGCTCATCTAGATGGCCAGGCTTTAACAGCAAAGCAACTTCTGTGGAGTTTTTTTCAGTACTGCTCTTTAAAGGAGCCACAGCGGGACAGACACACAGTAACCAGTCTGAGACATTGGGGGTTAGTGGACATGCCGGCCCCTGGTTGTTTTGGTGAGACAGAGCTGTGAAAACACATGCCAGTAGGTGCCTTCACACACAATTCTGTGCTCAGGCTCACAAAGGGGGAGGCAATCAATCTCTCTTTTGTTTTCAACCTCCCTTAAAGATTCTTTGAAACTCTGTTCTAATACTGCAGACCTGGTCTTTTTACCAGAATTTGTTTTCTTCTTTAAAGTCTGGGTTGTTGTTCTTGTATTAACATTTTGATAAACCTCATCACAGTACCAAAGAATCCCCCACCAAAACGGAGTTCAAATTTGATCAAAACATAAACCCCCTAACATTATGCAATACAGGCAGAAGGAAAGAAAAGTCACCCTAAATCTAAATCTGACCGCTCAGGGCTTAGGCAGAGAGATGAGGGGAAATCTACATGCATCAATAAACTGAAACACTGTTTGGGAACTCTGGGATGGTGCCCATCTCCTCTACTTCCCAGACAGCTGCTCATAGAGCTTGGGCACATAGTCATCCCATTCAGCCTGGTAACATGTGCCAGCCACTGGGGTCCCAAGCTCATACTTTTTGTGGAAAGAGGCCACCTTGAATTTGCCACGGTGGTCTCCAGATCGGTTGCTGAGAATGGGCTCGTCACACTTCAGTGGTCCTTTCTGCTCGTAAACCAGCCAGACGTAGCGGTGCAGGCCTGGAGGGAAAGGCGGAAGGGAAGACATACATACAGCTAAGCGTCTGAGAGGGAGATGTCACCCATTTTCTGAGAATGCACCAACTTGGAGGGACCCAGACCACCCCATTTATGAGAGGGGGCTAAGTTCACTGTAACTTTATTCACAACAGCCTGGAGGTGAAAGCACTCCAAATGTCCACTGACAAATGAAAAGATAAACAAAGTATAGTATATATATATACAGTGGAATATTATTCAGCCTTAAAAAAAAAAAAAGGCAGGAAATCCTGTCCCATGCTACCACATGGATGAATCTTGGAATGGGTTCTATCAATACATATGGCATGGATCTTATATGGAGCTACTGAAACTTTCCTTCAGTATACTGCTGAAATACTGCTGATTAGAGTATAGGAGTTTTCAACCATTTTGGATTCTATGACTCAACAATTCTACTCCTAAGTATTTACCCAAGGAAAATGGAAACATGCCCATAAAAGGACAAGAATGGAAACAGCACATTTATTCATAATATCCAAACACTAGAAATACAAGCCAAATGTCCAGGGAATGGCTATACAAACTGTGGTATATTTGCACAAGGGAATACTACTTGGCAATGAAAAGGAAGGAGCTACCGATCTCACAATAACATGGATGAGTCTCACAGACACCACCTTAAGTCCAGAAAACCAGTCACAAATGCATACTGCATGACACCACTTATAAGAATACAAGAACAGCAAGAGTAATCCATAGAGAGAAGAGCCAGAAAATGATTAGCTCTGGGGAAATTTAACTTAAAAGGTCCCTTAAGAACCTGGGGGTGACAGAAGCATCCTACATCTTATTTCCCATGGTGCTAACATGGATGTATACACTGGTCAATATTCATTGATTAAACCCTTCCGACCTGTGTGTTTTATTATATGTAAATTATACCTTACTAAACAAATGTGAAAAGGAAAAAGAAGTGAGTCACTGAAGCTCTTTTTGTTAATGAGAACACAGCTGCTACTTGAGAGAACTGCTTTATTCTCATAGGTATACTTTCCATAATTAAACTGCCTGATTTTATAACTGGCTCTAGAGAACTTCAAGAGATGCTTGGGAGAAAGGTCCCTCTCATGAATGCATGAGAGGGCTCTGAGCTTCTGGGCCTACAGATAAAACAGCAGGTCCCTTGTCAGGGACCTTCTTGTACCTCTTCAGAGTAACTTACGGCTGAACAGTGTGTACAAGATCAAGTGTTCTGCCCCACTCCAGTTCCTTGTTCCAGGAAATGGAAACGCCTGTCAAGCACGACATGGTAACAGCGCATCTCCCACCATTAGCCTAGGTAGCACTGGTCCAACTCGGCAAGGTCCAATACACGATTCTCTAAACGAACGTCCATCTAACCAGTACCCATGGTTCTGGCCACCTGACACTACAATGGGTCTGAGTGTCCCTGACAGACAGCTGCTTCAGAGGGGAACTGAGTTGCCTAAAATCTTCACGAGGCTAAGGGCTCTCATAAATATAAGACTCTAAAAAATAGACTAAGATTTTGTAGCACTTTATATCAATCCTAATATGCACCCAGGCTCCCCTCCCATATCTCCTTCCAAATGCAACCTTTACTGACCTGTGCCCTTGGGAGGCCCAGAGCCCACATAATCAGAGAGAACTGTGCCACTGCCAATGTCGTTGCCCTTCATGTTGACCACCAGGAAATGGTGNAATGCAACCTTTACTGACCTGTGCCCTTGGGAGGCCCAGAGCCCACATAATCAGAGAGAACTGTGCCACTGCCAATGTCGTTGCCCTTCATGTTGACCACCAGGAAATGGTGCCATTCCCTACATGGAGGAAGAGAGGACCATCAGCATCACAGGAAGTCAGTACACACTCACAGGCAAAGTCAGCCAACAGAACTTTAATTAGGGACACCAAAGTCTGAATTTCATGTAATGTCCACATGTCACAAAGTATTATTGCTCTTTTAAAAATGTTAAAGTCATTCTCAGCTCATGGGGCTGTACAAAAATAGGCCTGGGCAGATCCAGCTCTCGGCTATAGAATCTTGCTCTAGGGAGCAAAAAGCATGCTCAGGTTTAAGCATGGAAGTGAACACCCCAAATGAAGTCTACTTCTTCCCACACAGCATGTCCAGCAAGGGACTTACACAATACAAGAAGCACTAGGTCACAATGGATGACCCGCTACTCCCCATCTTTCTCTAACTTGCCTGTATTTGGGGTCCTTCCTGCTGGGAGCATCTGGATCTGTCAAGACCAAGGTGTACAATTTACCTGGATCAAGGCCATCCCATGTAACGCTGGNTCCCCATCTTTCTCTAACTTGCCTGTATTTGGGGTCCTTCCTGCTGGGAGCATCTGGATCTGTCAAGACCAAGGTGTACAATTTACCTGGATCAAGGCCATCCCATGTAACGCTGGTGGGCCGGTTCTTAACCTGTAGGAACGAACAGATTTGGAGCTTAAAAGTCAAAAATGCTGAAGAAACCAGCACTCTTTCTTTGACCTTGGATTCCTCAAAGGTCAAGCACAGAAATTATTAATAAAAGCTCAACTGTACTGACTCTACTAAGAACCCGGAACTGATGGTTAATCAGTTATTTATTTTAGTCCCAACAACACTATGGGGCTAGTATCCTAGCATGTTATTAACAGAAAGAGGTGGGTCAGGATTTCAACGGTTGCTGACTACAACCTTACATTATTTGGAATAACACAATCTCTAGACTGGAGACCACATTATCTGAGGCCTGCTAAAGTGAAATCTGAATTAAGTGGATATTTAAAAGGGCAGAGGAAACCAAGATGGACAGACGTGGACAGTGAGTTTGGCAAAGAGAGGCTGCCAGACGGGCACTTAACACACCCAAAACAATAAACTCTGTAAACATCTAAATTAATAAACCATCTGAGCACTGTTTATTCGCACTGCTGCCCCGAAGCGTCAGGACCAACTACTGGCCACGGTGTCCAGGCACCTAGTTCCCCACTTGCAGCAGCCAGAACCTGGTTAGCCCTTAGCCAAGTCAGGCGGGGGTCAAAGGCCAAACGGTAAAACAAGGCCGTTACCCTCGAGCCTTCCAGCTGCAGAACGCACCTACTTTTGGGTAGGAGCTTCCAGCTCCCGACCTTTAAAAACAAAGGAGGAATCACAGGGCTCACTGGTTACATAATGCGTCATATGCCCTCGGGTGGGGTTTCACTCCCCATACTGAGGCCTAAAATTCCGGGCCGAGAGCAGACGCTCTGGGGGCGTGAGGGGCCACTGCCCACTACCTCCGGGGAAAGGCCTCCTCCCCGCCCCTGTCCAGCGATCTGGGCCATTTCGAGGCCTCCTCCCCTGCCTGCTCCTCGAAATCCCAAGAGAATGTATCAATTTCTTCCGCAGGGCGAGCCCCGCCCTCCACGTGCCAGGTTCCTGGCGCTGGTTAGGGGGAGGGAGCGGTCGGCAGGCCTGCGGCTTGGGCACCGCGACTCCCTTCCCTTGGTGGATCCGGCGCACTAGAGGCTGGAACGTCCTCCCCACTTCCACTGGGCCGCCGACCCGCCGACCTGACAGCCTCCCAGCCTCCAGCAGCTGCACCCCTTCCGCCCTCGGTACCTGAGTGGGTGTCAGCACTTTGCCCAGTTCGTCGACCTCCGCCCCGCCGTATTTGACCTGCAGCGGGTGCTGCGGCCGCTCATCCACTTCCTGNTGACAGCCTCCCAGCCTCCAGCAGCTGCACCCCTTCCGCCCTCGGTACCTGAGTGGGTGTCAGCACTTTGCCCAGTTCGTCGACCTCCGCCCCGCCGTATTTGACCTGCAGCGGGTGCTGCGGCCGCTCATCCACTTCCTGCAGGCTCAAAGGCCCGGACCACTTGCCGAGGTCCACCGGCATCGTGGAGCCGAGCGGGTCAGACAGCAGAGAAAGCGGCTTGTGTACTCGCGCAGGGTCGGAGCACTGACTCACAGCAGTCTGCACACTGTACGGGAGTAGTTCCAGCCGCACTGCCGAGGAATACATGCGCCAGAGCCACCGCCCCGCCCCATCCCGCTCCGCCAGTCACCGGCGGGGAGGGGCCCCACTCTTCTCTCTGATTGGCCGAGCCCGGTAGCGCGGGTCGTCGGGCGCTCCCGGGTCAAAGCACCAGGCTTGGCCTTTCTTTTTGCAGAGGGAGGTCTTGCTACTCGTTGCTGGAGGAGTTCCCAAGAGTTATGACTGAGCTTGCAAGACTGTTGTTTCAAGAATTGCAACTGAGCTACTTTCGATTTTTTTTTTAAAGCTTTTTACTTTTTTCTTTGTTCAACCTTAAAATTGCAGAAATGGTAAGGCCTTGCTTTTCTGTCGCACTTCTTAAAGCAACCCACATTGCCCCTCCTCTTTGTACTTTCGCGCATGCTCACTAGCTTCGGTAACGGCCTGGAGAGGGTCCTGGGGGGAGCTTCTCAGCGCTGTTCTCAGTCGGCAAGAATATTTGCACCTAGCGTTTGATTCTCCCCTCCCCACTTGCGTCTGCCTGCAATGCGGGAGACCCGGGTTTGATCCCTGGTTCGGGAAGATACCCTGGAGAAGGAAATGGCAACCCATTCCAGGACTCTTGCCTGGAAAATTCCATGGACGGAGGAGCCTGGTAGGCTACAGTCCATGGGGTAGCAAAGAGTCAGACACTACTAAGCGACTTCACTTTCTTTCTCTCGGCGCTGTTCTCAACCAGCAAAAATATTTGCACATAGCGTTTGATTCTTCTATCCGGACTTGGTCTTGCCAAGATTGGGGGGAGTTATTGTTGGGTTTTTTTTTTGAGAAGTGATTTTTTAACTTGTGAAGCGAGGAATGTTGCTCACCATCTAGTGTTTTTTTTCTTTAATTAATTTTTATTGGAGTATAGTTGCTACCATCCAGTTTTAAAAGAATGAAGTCAGCCACTACAGCCCCGGCCTACAATATAAAATACCCTGAAAGGTATTCGGGACAGAACGAGGCACTTTGTGCTTTGGGGGAAAAAAGGCAAAACCATTAGATATATTCTAGGAGAGTTTTTTTAATTAATCCGATTTTTGCATCTTTCCATACTTTTTTTTTTTTTAAGCGCAAAAATCATGAACTATTTGCTCCTAGAAGCAACCTTCTACTAAGACTTATGCTTGATCGCACATACCCCTTGGCCAAAATTACGTATGTACTGGCTTCTGCCCCTTCCACTTCCAAGCAGTTCCCCAGAGCTATGCTGTGCATTTTTGGTTTTTTCTGTTTTGGTTTAGTCAATAAACCATAGTTACTATTCTTCCTTTGTTGACAAGTGACTGCCTCAAAACTGCTTTCTTTTTTTTTCTTCAAAACTGCTTTCGTTGTGACCACCAGATGCTTTATTTTTGCTAAATATGATGGGTACTATTTACTAGTCCTTAACCTAATATGACCTTTAGGCTTCCCTGGTGACTCAGATGGTAAAGAATATCTGTAATTCAGGAAACCTGGATTCATTCACTTGAGGAGGGCATGGCAACTCACTCCAGTATTCTTGCCTGGAGAATCCCATGGACAAAGGAACCTGGGGGACTACTGTCCATTGGTTGCTATGAGTGGGACACGACTGAAGCGACTTAGCAGTATGACCTTAGGACAGTTTTTGACACTGATTACTACCCACCCCCAAAGTTGTTAGTTGTTTTTAGTTACTACTAGGAAATAATACAAGTGTTTTGTAGAAAATTAAGATTAAAAAAATCCAAAGAAATAATTAAGAATCGCTTCTATTCCACTATTTAAACACAAACATCGGTAACAATTTGAGACATATCTTTCCAATTTTAAAATTATGAATACAAATAATTTTGTTCTGTTTGTTCACCAAAACAATTACATTTACTTTACGATTGTAGAATATTTGTATTAAAAATAGATCTTCATGAGACTTCCCTGGCAGTCCAGTGGTTAAGGCTTCTCCCCAAATGGAAGGAGTGTGGGTTCAGTCCTTGACGGTTGGGGAAATAAGATCCCACATGCCTAGCAGCCAAACAACCAAAACATAAAACAGAAATAATATTGTGATGAATTCAGTAAAGACTTTAAAAATGATCCACATCCCGAAAAATTTTTTTTTAAAACTTCATTATTTTAATGGCTTTGTCCACTCTAGATGCACCACAATTTATTCACTTCTTTATGTTGGACATTTGGGCTTTTTTGTTGTTTTTTCATTTTACAAATATCACTGAAATGAATGTGTGTGTAAGGGAGAGAATAGAACCACTTCCATTAAAACAATGGTTGAAAGTGAAAGTCACTCAGTTGTGTCCGACTCTTTGTTATCCCATGGATATCCCATACATTCCATCAATTCTCCAGGCCAGAATACTGGAGTGGGTAGCCTTTCCCTTGTCCAGGGGATCTTCCCAACCCAGGAACTGAACCCAGGTCTCCCGCATTGTGGGCAGATTCTTTACCAGCTGAGCTAAAAGGGAAGTCCAACAATTCTGCAGTGGATAGCCTATCCCTTCTCCAGAGGATATTCCCAACCCAGGAATCGAACCAGGGTCTCCTGCATTGCAGGCAGATTCTTTACCAACTGAGCTATCAGGGGAGTTAGGACTAGCCAAACTATATTTACTGACCATCCACTGTGTTCAGGTCAGCCTGGTTCCATAAGGACTGCTGCCATTACCAAGTGCATGCTCCCTGTAGGTCAGTTCATTCCAAGGATGACTAACATTTACCAAGCATCCATTGTATATATACCCCAAAACAACAATTATCATTACTAAGCCCTGTGTGTAAGTCAGTGTGCTCCAGTGAGAACAACTTCCACTACCTGATGGTTATCACTTCCCCATGCCAGGCCTTGTCCAACGACCTTGATGCTCAGAGTTTCATTTCAGCCTCACACCAATCCAATGTGGGAGGCACTGCTCTTCACCCATTTCATAGATAAATAAACTGAGACTTGGAGAGGTAGAAGTGACAAAGCAGGTTGAAAGGCCACCTGGCCCCCAATGTCCAATGGACACAAAGTCCTTAAGTGTGCTTTAGCTGGAAGTACTGGCGGTAGATGAGGCAAGCATGGTCTTTGACTCCAGAAAACTTTCCTCTGGTGAAGGTTTACACAGTAAATTACCATTACAACCCTGCCCGGCCGCCATTAGAATGCAGCTCTCACACCTCTGACTGCAGGCAGAGAAGTTGGCCAGGGTCCCGACTGCTGGTCTCTGCTTTGAGGCCAAGACTATGCTTTGGCAGACTGCCCCCAGCCCATGACCAAACTTGGCAGGGTCAAGCTGCCACAGCTGGGAGGCTCAGGGCTTCTCTGTGGTCAGGACCAGCTTGACTGTTTCCTTGGAACTGCACCTCAGGCTAGGTTGCTACCTTCCCTGGCTCAGGTTTTCTCCCCATTTTTTTCTCACAGTCATATCTCCTAATAAATCCCTTGCACATTGAATCCCATCTTGTCATCAGCTTCTCAGATGACTGAGACTGACACTCCCAAGTTTAAGAGACAGTATGAGGACCACCTGCAGTGGAAGCAAGCTTGGGGTGTGTTTGAGGGTGCTGGGCTTGGACCAGTGAGCAGACTGGTTTTGCTAGAATGGGAGATTTAGGTAGGGGCGGATGGATGACATAGCAAAAAAGGCTGAATAAGGCTGAAAGGACAGGGAAAGGAAAGTCCTTTTATTCATTTTTTTAACATATAAAAAAATTTTAACCATCTTTAATATACAACTGGGCTTCTCTGATGGCTCAACGGTAAAGAATCTGCCTACAATGCAGAAGACTCGGGTTCGATCCCTAGGTTGGGAAGATCACCTGGAGAAGGAAATCGCAACCCACACCAGTATTCTTGCCTGGAAAATCCCTTGGAAAGAGGAGCCTGGTGGGCTACAGTCCATGGGATTGCTGGAGTCAGACACGACTTAGTGGCTAAACCACCACCACTGATATACAATTAATCAGTCAAATAACATAATCTAAGGGCACAGGAATGGAAATCAGAATGCACTCACAGTTCTAATTCATCACCTAGTACCCATGAAACCTTGGGCAAGGGGAACAGGCAGAATGGCTTCTCAAAGATGGCCACATTCTAATTCCCAGAGCCTGTGAATATATTCATTATGTGACTAGGGGGGATTATGGTTCCAGATGGAAATAAGGTTGTCAGTCAACCAACCTTAAAATCAGGAGATTACCCTCAATTATCTGGGTGGGCCCAATGTGATCACAAAGGTCCTTAAATGGGGAAGAAGGCAGGCTTTTTAGAAGAACAGGGATTCCATGTGAGAAAGACTTGACCAGCCATTGCTCGTTTTGCGGGTGGAAGAAGGAGCCAGAAGCCAAGGATTGCAGGGAGTCTATAGAAGCTGGAAAAGGCAAGGAACTAGATTCTTCTCTAGAGGCTCCACAATGAATGTAACCCTGCCGGCACATTGATTTTAGCCCAGTGAGACCCATTTCAGACTTTTGACGTCCAGAACCTTAAGAGAATAAATTCACGTTGTTGTAAGCCATTAAGTTTCTGGTAATTTGTTGTAGCAACAATAAGAAAGTTATACAGAATATGACCTTTCCTCACTAAACCTCAGTTTTCCTCTCTCTAAAATGGGTTTATCAACACCCCTGAAATGATCATAGTGAGAATTAAATGAAACACAGGTGGTGTGCTTCATACACAACCTAGTACCTCCTAATGGAAGGCTATTACTATTTTTACATTATATAAAACTCATAAATACAAACAAACATAAAATTAACTAATTATTTAATAATCCAACCAGCCAAAAGCAATGAGCATCTTGTGATTTTCCTTCCAGACTTCGCTGTATATAAATGTGAATATGCATGTATGATGGTTTGGATTCAATATTAACTGGGTCAAATTATACATACATGCTACTGTGTAATTTGCTTTTCTTCACTTCCTCCTGTCATGTCTATAAATAAACCACTACAGCAACATTCTTAATGGCTGCACAAGATTCTATTGTATCTGTCGATTGCTTGTTTAAAACACAATATTTCCCATTTGGGAATACTTAAGGTGATCTCACTACTAGGCT